GCTTTTCTCCCCCATCCCCAAACCGGAAGCTCCTCTCAAAATTGCGGCACTGATCGGTGACGGAGCCACCGTAGAGGGAGGAAAGAGCCACATGCAGCTCCACAGCTGCAATTTGCTGACCCCTGGCATAGTGGAAGAACCAGATTTTCAAGGCTTGCTTAAAGGCAGGGAGGGAGGATTTGAAGATTTCCAGATTCCAGCCCACCTCTTTCTCAATACATGTTTAAGTACATGTGGAATACTTTTAAATTAGATGTACCTGTCAGACTAGTAGGGACATCCATTAGGTGTGTGTCTCTGTGTGTGTATGTGTGTGTGTGTGTTTGCTAATCTAGAGCTTTCAGAGAATATAAAATTTATCCTCAGCTGCCTCCAAACTATTCAACAGCTGAATGATCATAGAGTCTGCCAATGTCACAGTTTCTAGTTCCGAATTAGGAAAAATCCTTTAATCTGTCCTCTAGAAGAAGAAAGAAAATAATATGCTAGCATCCCTTTCTACCCAATCTCTGCACTTGTCTATGTTTATGTGGTGATTTGAAAACAAAATCCTCCCTGAAAAAAAGGTCATACCCAAGGGAAGATCAGTTATAGTATGGCGATAGCACTTAGACTTATACCGCTTTATAACCTTCTCTGTAAACCTTCTGTAAACTGTTTACAGAGTCATCCCCCAACAATCTGGGTTCTCATTTTACCCACCTCAGAAGGATGGAAGGCTGAGTCAACCTTGAGCTGGTGAGATTCAATCTGCCAAATTGCAGGCAGCTGGCAGTCAGCAGAAGTAGCCTGCAGTTCTGCACTCTAACCACTATGCCACTGCAGTTATAAAATAATAAATAAATGCCATTGAGTATGGAAGCTTGAAAGCAATATTATAATATGTCTATGTTCAAAAGCCTTTTAAAGTACCTGTGACTATGCCAATATATTAGTAAAAGGGCATTCAAAAGCCATTCCAAGAGGGAATTGGGTGGGCAGTGAAAAGAAGATCAGCTATAAAAATGCATAGAAAAATTGGAAGTTTCCATGAAAAGATGACAAATCTCTGGAAAGAAGGAAGAAGATTTACTGCAAATATTACATCTGCCCTTTATTTTGGATACAAGTAAAATATTGTAGCTAAGTACAGGAACCAAAGGCAAAGGATGTAGTTAAAAAAAATCTATCTCATTAATTGCTTCCATGGATTGCGGAAATTACCCAGGTAAAACAGTTTAACGGTAATGGTGCACATTTCAATGTCCTCGTTGGTCGAAAATATGAAAGGAACTCAGAAGAAATAGGGAAAGATTTGCCTTTATAAATGAGCCAGTAGATGGGGCCTTCTGCTGGACAATTAATCAAAATGTCCCCCATATTTGCCTTCAGTTGAATGATGTAGTTTGATAGGCTAAAAATGAGTGGAATGAATTACACAGAGATTAAAAGTTGCTATGTTGTTATTGTTATTTCCCTTTAAAATGTTCTGTTCCCTGGCTTCATTCATCTTACCATTGTTGTGGCTTCATTATTCGGCCCTCGCAAATGGGCTTCAAGTTTGAAATCTCCCAGCCTAATTTATTTCTTGTTATAAAGGCACACAGTATTGCCCAGTGTCAAGTGACACGGGTATGTTCTCCACCTCTGCTGTTCCTTTTCAATGCCAAGTCAAAGACCCATGATGAAAGGAATCTATTTTAGCCTCTAAACATAAGGATATGTTGTATTTGGTTCAAGAATGATAGGGCCAAGAACTCTCTGTTATAAAAGAATAAAATCACACAAATGATCCTATTTTATTTTTCTGGGCAGACCCACTATGTAGATCTGGCATTTTCCAACCTTGACAACTTTCAGACTTGTGGACTTCAACTCCCAGCATTCCCCAGCCACAAGTCTTAAAAGTTATTAAGTGGCTAAGCTGAAGTCACAAGTCTTAAAGGAGTTGAAGTTCACAAGTCTTAAAAGTCGCCTAATAGGTCTTCCTCTAAAGTGCAGGTTCCTCTCCACACTCTCTTAATTTCAGATTGGCAGCCACTATATCCAATATGGTTCTGCAGTTCCCTCCCTCCTGCTCAAATCTTATAGACTTGCCTCACCCTCATTCTGCTCCAAACTTCCTGTCACTTTTGAAGAAACTTTCTGCTAGACATTTGATAACTGAACTGCTGCTGAATAGACTTGTATACATCGCCACAGTGCTTTACAGCCCTCTCTAAGTGGTTTACAGTCAGCCTATTGCCCTCAATAATCTAGGTCCTCATTTTACCCACCTTGGAAGAATAGAAGGCTGAGTCAACCTTGAGCCTGGTGAAACTGCAGGTAGCTGGCAAGCAGCAGAAGTAGTCTGCAGTACTGCCTTTAACCACTGCGCCACCACGGCTGTTAGAATCTGCATTCTAAGAAATCCAGTAGGATATTCAAACTACTTAGGCTACACTTGATGTTCAGGGAAAAGGCATCTGCTACTCTGTGGTCTGATGCCCTGGTCTCCATCTTTAAAGTCATTTGTTTTGTGCCTGTTGGTATCACCTGTTCCGCCCTCACACAACTTCTGGTTTGATAATGCATTTCAAAACAATATCAGCTTACATATCTGGATATCAAAACCAATGATAACTTTTTTAAAAAAAGAGAGAAAGTAGGAGGGGGCTTGTTAGTCAGCTCTAGCATCTGAGCCTTATGAAATGCCCTTTATGCTGAGAGCATCACCATGGATCTAAGCTAGTATCTTGGTTATCTCTGCCCAGAGGGAGTCAATAGAGCCTGAACTAGGATCTACTTTCCTGGCTTCCCTTTTCTGGAATCCTTAAGGTTATTCTTGGCAAAACACAGCCGAGTATGAGAGGAACCATGGCAATGGATTTTGACCAGAGGTGTTTGGGATATTTCCCTTTATTTTTCTTTTTTCAGCCTCGCTACTCAGCTCTAAAACTCCATCCAGTGATTCCATTTCAATTCAATCTGTTGGATTCAATTTGTTTCCATTTCTTTTCAGTGGAACCAGAAGAAAAGAGAAGGGCATTTTGCCTAGGGCTATGATACAGTAGTTTCTCTGTCTGTAGTTCTGAATGTCATAATGAATGTTTTCTTAGCACTGCCACTACTCAGCCTCCCCTGTTCCTCTTTCAGCTTGTCATTATTTTTCCTTCTTACATGAGTCTTTAACTTGGCTTCCTAATGTTGTCTTGTTAGCAAGTATGAATAGATAAAAATGGTTTTTAACGGAATATCCACTTTATTCTTTTATTCTTCCTTCTTTTTTAGCTATCACAACCAACTAGAGGAACTAAGACAGGGAAATTTCAAAGAAGTTTATACAGAATTTCAGGAGGACACATTTTAATGATCATGTCATGGCTCGAAATTCTAAAAAGGTCTTTGTTGCTATCCTACCAAGCACTGGTCTGTGGCCCATTGCTTGATTGCTGATTCTTTTACTGTCAAAAGTCAATCCTGAAAGGTAGAAGCCATCCATTACTTTAATATTCTCACTGTCAGTTCTTTCCAGGCTTCTTTCTGGACTCATTATTGTTTGTTCTTATTTATAATTTAATCATAGTTCCATTTTTCATTGCTCCTTGGTTTTCATTACTGGAGCTTCCAGATCATTTGCATTTTCAGCTATCAGAATAGCGTGATCAGCATAGGGCAGGTTATTTTTTTTCCCCTCCAGTTTTACACTCACGTTCTTCCAATTCATCCTCTCTCAATATTTATTACATTTTTCACACCACCTGCCTGCCAGCAACTATGCCTATTGGTTGAATAACGATGGAGCATACAGCTTTATTTCACTTCTTTGCCAGTCTGGAGCCAATCTGTTTTATCATGTTCCACCCCGGCTATGATTTTTCTTGCCCTATAATATAAAGGTTTTGCTAGAGAACAAGTGTTCTGTGATTCCCATTTTCTATTGTTAGGGCAATATTTTCATATTTATTAATATGAAAAATAATTCTCACAGTTTTTGTGCCAGATATTTGTTTGCAAAAAGAAAATACTGCATATATATATTTTGTTACTTAAAATCATAACATTGTCAGGGAAGAAATTGTGTTCCTTTAGCTACAAAAACGTGCTAATTCAAGCCATCAAGAAAGGTGCAATTAATCAGGAAGAATGTTACTTTAAAAAAAAAAACTTGCTTTCCAAGCTAAGTCAGGTCACCAACCAGGTTATTTATTGGCATCTGTATGCTATATAAAGTCTTACTTCAGACATTAATTTTTTTTCTTGAAATGGTCAAATGACAAAGGAATGTTAATTTTGTTTTCCATCTCCTTGGTAGGAAATCTATTTTTATGTTTCTTTTCATTCCTCTTGGTATTTGTGTTGGAAAAACCTGACAGGCAATAATGGGCTGCAAGATAGAGGTCACCATGGGGAAAAGAGAGAGGGAGGGAGGGAGAGAGAGAATGTACTGTGATCCATCAGCCTTTAGAATGGGCAGGATTTTTTCTCTCTCTGCCATATGTTTTGAGAGAATGAAAAAATCATCTTGCTTCTTTTCAATGAGCGTAACTAAATCTGGCCTAATTTCAAATAAAACCATTCCGGTCTCTTTCTTTTTATTCCCCCTTGAAGCATTGGTTGGCACTGGGATCTGTTTTGCAGATCACAGCTAGTAAGTTCAAGCTAATTTAATTTTCTTAGCACAGGGGGGGGGGGCATGACTTGCTAAATGAACTGTTTGCTCAGTTTTTGTGGAAAACAAAGAGCCCACTATCTGGATTTTTTTTTATGAGCAAAAAATTGCTACTACCGGAGTACAATTTAGGTTTCTTTACAAAAAATAGTGCAGGGATAAGGATTTGGATCAATGTTATTGCAGCTGTTAGATGCCAGGAAGAGATGGTTGGTTGCAGTTGTGGGAATGTGTCCTATGTACTTAAGCCAGTTGAGCCATTTAATATAGGTACTTCTGTTCATCTTCAGAACAATCTTCACAGGTTGGTTGTGATCAGTTGTAAGAAAAGGAAAAGAGAGAATGAAAAATGATCACACCTTCTCTGTTGATAAAGCAAAAGTTCCGGGTGTGTAGTGGGTCCCTTTTTCACAGAAGTGAGTCAGTTGGAAGGAATAGTTTATAGTTTAAGACAAATACCTTTCAAACACATCCCAGTTGTGATTGTCGGTTTTGCATTTTCTTTTCTTCCTTTTTAAAAATTTCTGGGGATCTGACTCATGACCTACTTTCTAAATGGGTGTCTCAGTAGGATTTTGTTTTGTTTTGGTGATTTCATTCATTCTTTCTCACCAGTGTCACAAGCCTGCCAAAAGCAGCTACATGTTTCCCCAGATAACCCAGACACATTTAAAATGTCTTGGTTGTCAAGGCAACCAAGAGCCCAGTGTTAAGGAAGGAAAAACAATCTCCACCTGTGTAAATTTATTACCAAACAAGAGGAATACAATACTGCCTTATTGTCATCCTTTTTTCTTTCAAAACCAGCCAGAGGGAATTATTCAATCCCAGCAGATTAAAAAAAGGTTTAGCGCAGCTGAGGAGTCACTTTAGGCAATTCTAGTAAAATAGCCATCCAAGATTAGTTCCTTTTCTGGATTTGGGTTTGACTTCTTCCTTCATTTCTTCTACAGTTGTAAAAATGAAAAAGAAAATATTCTGCCTTCTTAATTTGCTGAAGCTCCACAACACCTGAAGTCATCCTAGCATAAATGCAGATAGCAATCAAGTTCTCTCCAGCCCGATTTCTGTCTCCTTCAATTCTTCCATCCCCTTCAAGCAGTTCAGCCAAAAAAGCACCAGCATGTATACAGTTTTTGTGCTGAAAATGGCCGCACATAGAAAGGAAGGTCTTGGAAGACTTGTCAAAATTTGGGTGTGGAGGCAAGGACCGAGGGAGTCCTATGCTCTTTGGTGGATTTGGACTCCCTTTTGAAACACAGTTATGTAATTAAATGTTTCCCCTTCCACTGACTTCCCAACCTACAGTCTCCCCCGTTTTAATCATTAAATAATATATTAAATGTAGAGTATATGCTGCCTAACTCCCAGTGACTCTGGTTGGTTGTCATAGTTCACTTGGCTTCCACATGTATTTTGATTTCCCGATCACTTTGTCTCCCTTCACTCACTGTTCAGAAAAGGCTGTACACTGGCTATATTCAAGGGAAAACTGCATTTTTCTTAATGGCTTATCATTCATTTTTCAGACTCTTGGTCAATAGCCATTATAACTTCCATTTAGATTAAGGTTGTCCAATTGCGTCCAACATGGCTGGCTGGGGAATTCTTGGAATTGAAGTTCATATGTCTTAAAGTTACCAAGGTTGGTTATTTACACCTGGTTTAGTCATGTAATATAGCACTACACTTCCTTCTAATTTTATTTTATTTTCTCCTCCAAGCCCCCAGTTCCCCAGGCTCTGTCAAATTCAGTGAACTGACCACAACTTCGGTGAACGTGTCTTGGGAGCCCCCGATCTTCCCAAATGGAATCCTGGAAGGCTACCGGCTCATTTATGAACCCTGTATGCCTGTGGATGGTAAGGAACTTACAGGATATGCAGATATGCAAGTCTGGGTGTGCATGACTTCAAGTGCAACAATGAATGGCCAGGGAACACACCTTGCTGTCTTAGGAGAATGTTCTAATTTATGACTATAGGACTACAGATTTAAAAAGTTGGACTGTCCATAACCAGAACCTTTTGTACTTCAAATTGTATTTCTACATCTCAGATGTATAAGCCATCAGTAAACCCCCAGCAATAAAGGCAAGGGATCCTAATAGCCACAACTTAATCAGTTATGAAAAGATAATGGCATTCTTCAGACAACATGAACCCTGATGATTGGTTTATTTGTCTGTCTGTCTGTCTGTCTGTCTGTCTCTATCTATCTATCTATCTATCTATCTATCTATCTATCTATCTATCTATCTATCTATCTATCTATCTATCTTTACATTGTACCCCAATGTCAGTCCATGTAACACAAAAAGCAAAGTCAAGCCCAGTGAATCAACATAATTCAACAACATAGATGTCAAACTGTTGTCCCCAACACCGTTTTCTTACTGTGTTCTCACATGAAGGATTAGAACCACTGTAAAACAGTCTTCCCAAGGCCCAATCCTGCCAAGTGGCCCAATAGAATATCATGGGCAATGGGGTACTGAAATCAGCCACTGCTTCTTTCCCTGGAATGGCTAGGTAGCAGCCTCGTCCCCTGTGCCAGACTAGGGTGCTTTTTATTGGTTGCTCCCTCACCTTGCTTTATTCCCCACTCTACCCAATCTCCTGGACCCATCTCATAATATGCGTCTTTCTGCCTTCCAGGGGTCAGCAAAATTGTGACCGTGGACGTGAAAGGAAACAGTCCTTTGTGGTTGAAAGTCAAGGACCTGTCCGAAGGTGTCACCTACCGATTCCGAATTCGAGCCAAGACCTTCATTTATGGTCCAGAAGTAGAAGCCAACATCACTACAGGGCCAGGGGAAGGTACATCAAGGAAACTGAGAGATGAGATTCCTTTCTCCATCGTTCTTCCCATACTCTTAACAGACCTTAACAATTAGAATTTAAATTAGAACCATGCCCAGTAACAAACCACAATACTTCCTCTATGACTCCAGTTTTTAATAGGAGCCTGCCTAATCTAAGATGCTTAAGTAGTACTGGATTCAGTTTCAGGTTTGAGAAAGAGTTTCTTGTCTTCCATGTCTGTTGATTAGTATGGCAAAATCATATTTTTTCTTCATCTTTGGACAGAATGGAATAAAATGTGCAAAATATCTTGTTTTGTAGGTGGCTGCTTTGGATATATAAGTTCCTAGAATTCTTCAAAACAGGAATATTCTTCTCAATGTGTCTTGAGTGATCCATGCCTCATGTACATCTCAATCAATCAAAACTTAAACAATTGTTCTTTACTCGTTTTGTGCAGTCATAATAACATAGAAAGCAAAGAGATAACTGTACAAATAAATATAATGGCTAATTATGCACAGCATCATTGTTTAGAACTGTCCCCTGACCCCAATTTTCTAGAGTTCTCTCTATTCTTTGGCCTAGCAAAGATCATTGGAAAAAGTTGCCATCAACTCATGTGGCCCATTTGGGTCCTTAAAGAGAAAAAAGACATCATAGGATGATCTGAAAGTACTAACCTCTAAAGCCAATTTTATGTGTTTATGTGTTTATGTGTGATAGAAGGAATCTCAATTGCAAAGCGAATCTCAATTGTGCATACTCAGTTGTTCCTTCATATGTTCCAGTGTTGAGTCCAGCATTGTAAACAATAGCAATAGCACTTAGACTTATAGTGCTTTACAGCCCTCTCTAAGAGTCAGCCTATTGCCCCCAACAATCTGGGTCCTCATTTTACCCACCTCGGAAGGATGGAAGACTGAGTCAACCTTGAGCCAGGTGGGCTTTAATCTGCCAAACTGCAGTCAACTGGCAGTCAGCAGAAATAGCCTGCAGTTCTGCACTCTAACCACTGCGCCACTGTGGCTCTTAACAAGCCCCTTTAAATCAGTAAATGTGGATTACCCAGTATCTGGGGAAAAAAATCTGATAAATGCCTATAAATAGCAGGTATATTGTTTAATTAACCACACGGCTAACATCCACATTAGATCAAAATGTCTATATTATAAATTCATGAATCGGTTCAATCTATGTTTTTAATGCTTCAAATATTGCTTTTTAAATAGAGGAGGTATGTAGATAACAAGAAATGGATATAAAATAGCTTCCTCTGTGAAATACCATTTTTGTGGGATTTGCAGCCCACCAGAATTATAATCAAAATTAAGCATCAAAACCTTTTTTTGTCTTTCATTTATTATTTAGCACTAAAATATTTTATTTATATATTTTAGTTTTTATACCTTGCCTTTCATTCAAGAGTTCAAATGAAATATTCCCTTTCTCCTTCCATTCCCCTCCCTCTGCCCACATGCCAAATAACCCTATGAGTAGCTTGGGCTGAGAAAGCTCAATAGCCTTCGGCCACCCAGTGAAACTTCATGGTTGAGACTGGACTGTAACTAAATAATATGTTACTTTGTCTAATGAATTAGGCAGCATCCAAACATGAGAGACTTGGATTAGGACTGAATTAAGGCCACTAGAGATAGACAATGTGGAGAAGAAAATACAAGGTCCACCATCAGCTCCACAAGAATGCTATTTCAATACTAAAGGAGCATTCTCTACCATCCTCTAAGACAGAGGTCTCCAAACCTGGCAACTTTATGACTTGTGGATTTCAACTCCCAGAATTCATCAGCCAACATGAGGAATTCTGGGAGTTGAAGTTTACAAGTCTTAAAGTTGCCAAGTTTGGAGACCCTGCTATAAGGCATGATTCGTATAGGGCTCATCTGAATTATTTGTATAGCATCATAGCATAATTTTTCCACCGATATGATGATGTTGTTGTTGTTTTAAATGCAGGTGCTCCAGGTCCTCCCGGTGAGCCCTTCATCTCCAGATATGGTTCAGCCATCACAATCCACTGGTCAAGTGGTGACCCAGGAAAAGGGCCCATCACCAGATACGTCATTGAAGCAAGACCTTCAGGTACCAATACTGAATTCAGTTCACCTTCCTTTGATTGTTTCACCCATGGCTCCAGGCTCCTTTGATTATTTGAACAGCCAGAAAATCAACTGAACTTTCTTACCTTGAGCCCCACTTCTTCCAGAAGATCTCTAAATGAGTAATTTATTTGGGTGTGTTCTTCTGCTACCTCTGGATCAGAAGTGATTGAATAATGTAGTCAAAGAAGAGATGAGATGGAATTATTATTTTCCTTATGGAAAAACTAGACAAAAATGGTAAATTAAACAAAGGTCAGTTTCTTCCATGGGTAACATCATGTATTCATATAAGGTGTTAATATTCTTTAGAGCACATTAGTCATTCTTTCATAGCATGGTTATTCTAGCTATGCACATTTTGGAAATTACCTCTTCTGGTTCTTGATGTCATAACAGTTGTGAGCTCCTTGAGTAATTTGAAACTGGATATCCAGACTTGGGAACTTGGGAACTTCCCTCTGAATACATGAATTTAATATATCTCTCCATAATGTGGAATGAAAAATTAAAGGGACTTTTCCCCCATTGATGCATTTCCCTTTCCAGCTGAAAATCTCATTGAATTGATTTACTTTTGGGGAGTCTTCCTCTCCAAAAGGATACAGTGAGTATACTCAGCTTGCTCCTTTCTCCCTCTTATAAGAGGATAAGTCCAAGAATGAAATGTTCAGCTAAAAGGGATGATTGATGAACCCAGAGGCCAGGAGCTGGGTACATACAAGGACATAAATCACCCAACTGCTGTGAAATAGACTTGAGCTTCCTTTTTAATGAAGCTGCTGCGAATAACTGTCTTTCACAGACCTCAAATTGAGCAGATGTCTGGGCATGGAGGTTATTAATTATCATTAAGTCTAGAACGCTTATCAAAGAATGTGTGAAAGACTGACAGTACTTATTCTGACACAGAAAGTTACCAATACCTATATTGGATTATTTCTGTGCACATGTAAATGTTGCTAATGTTGTACACAGCCAAAGGAACCAAAACTGAACAAAGATGCAGCGCCATATTAGTAGATAGATATAATTATTTTTTTTTAAAAAAACCCACATCATTTTAGCCTCCTGTATGAAACAGGTCACCATTAGACTTGACAGCATCATATGTGAAATGAGTCATAATTGGTCTTCTGATGTTTGCACCCTGTATACCCCTGTCTTTGGATTTCCTGCTTCATAATTTTCCTTTCTAATTCCATTCTCACCTTCATTTAAATGATTTGTAGCACTCTACCTAGTGCTTTCAGCGTTCTAGTGGTTGACACATCATACAAAGGATGGCCAGGGAAAAATAAAGTGTTTAACCTGGGAGGAAATACAGATAGTGCTCGACCCATTCGTTTGATGACTGTTCAAAGTTACAATAGCCTGGGGAAAAAATGACCATTTTTCACACATCGCTATGGCAGCATCCCCATGGTCATGTGATCAAAATTTTATCATCAACTGGTTTATATTTATGATGGTTGCAGTGTCCTGGGGTCATTCCTTTTGCCACCTTCTTTTTTTTAATATTTTTTTTTTAATTTTCAAAACAAACACAACACATCCTTCTTTACATACTGTAGAAAGTGTATCAGCTGGTTACAAAAAGACT